TTAGGGTTTAGAAGTTTAAGGTTTTAAGGGTTATGGTTTAGGATTTAGGCTTTAGGGTTTGAAGGGTTAAGGGTTAGGGTTTAGGGCTTAGTGGTTTGGGGGTAGGGGTTAGGGTTTAGAAGTTTAAGGTTTTAAGGGTTATGGTTTAGGATTTAGGCTTTAGGGTTTGAAGGGTTAAGGGTTAGGGTTTAGGGCTTAGTGGTTTGGGGGTAGGGGTTAGGGTTTAGAAGTTTAAGGTTTTAAGGGTTATGGTTTAGGATTTAGGCTTTAGGGTTTGAAGGGTTAAGGGTTAGGGTTTAGGGCTTAGTGGTTTGGGGGTAGGGGTTAGGGTTTAGGGGTTAGGGGTTAGTGTTTAGGGTTTTGGGGTTAGGGGTTAGGGGTTAGGGGTTAGGGGTAGGAGTTAGTGTTTAGGTTGGGCTTTCAGGTTTAGGGGTTAGGGTTTACGGTTTAGGGGTTAGAGTTTAGGGTTTATGGGTTAGGGGTTGGGGTTTAAGGGTTAGGGTTTAGGGTTTAGTCTTGTAGGGTTTAGGCTTAAAGGGTTAGGGGTTGGGCTTTAGGGTTTAGGGTTTCAGGTTTCGGCTTTTGGGATATGGGTTTGGGGTTTCAGGTTTAGGGTTTTTGGTTTAGGGTTGAGGGTTTAGGGTTGAGGGTTTAGGGTTTAGGGGTTAGGGATAGGGTTTAGAGTTTAGGGGTTAGGTTTTACAGTTTAGTGGTTAGGGGTTAGGGTTTAGGGCTTAGTGGTTTGGGGTTAGGGGTTAGGGTTTTAGGGTTTAGGGTTTAGGAGTTTGGGGTTAGTGTTTGGGGTTTAGGGGTAAGGGGTTTGGGGTTACGGTTTTGGCGTTAGGGGTTAGGGTTTAGGGGTAGGGGTTAGTGTTCAGAGTTTAGGATTTAGGGGTTAGAGTTTAGGGTTTTGGGGTTGGGGGTTAGGGTTTAAAGTTTAAGGTTTTAAGGGTTAGGGTTTAGGATTTAGGCTTTAGGGTTTTAGGGTTTTAGGGTTTAGGAGTTAGGGTTTAGGGATAAGGGGTTAGGGGGTGGGCTTTCGAGTTTAGGGGTTAGGGTTTATGGTTTAGGGGTTAGGGTTTAGAGTTTAGGGTTTAGTGGTTGGGGGTTGGGGTTTAAGGTTTAGTGTTTTAAGGGTTAGTGTTTAGGGTTTAGGCTTGTAGGGTTTAGGGTTAAGGGGTTATGGGTTGGGCTTTAGGGTTTAGGGTTTCAGGTTTCGGGTTTTGGGATTTGGGTTTAGGGTTTCAGGTTTAGTGTTTTGGGTTTAGGGTTTTGGGTTTAGAATTTAGGGTTAAGGGTTTAGGGGTTATGGGTTAGGGTTTAGGGTTTAGGGGTTAGGTTTTACGGTTTAATTGTTAGGGGTTAGGGGTTAGGGTTTAGGGGTTAGTGGTTTGGGGTTAGGGGCGAGGTTAGGGGTGAGTGTTTAGGGTTTTGGGGTTAGGGGTTAGGGGTAGGGGTTAGTGTTTAGGGTTAAGGGTTTAGGGGTTAGAGTTTAGGGTTTTGGGGTTGGGGGTTACGGTTTAAGGTATAAGGTTTTAAGGGTTAGGGTTTAGGCTTGTAGGGTTTTGTGTTAAGGGGTTAGGGGTTGGGCTTTAGGGTTTAGGGTTTCAGGTTAGGGGTTGGGCTTTCGGGTTTAGGGGTTAGGGTTTACGATTTAGTGGTTAGGGTTTAGAGTTTAGGGTTTATTTATTGGGGGTTGGGGTTTAAGGTTTAGCGTTTTAAGGGTTAGGGTTTAGGCTTGTAGGGTTTTGTGTTAAGGGGTTAGGGGTTGGGCTTTAGGGTTTAGGGTTTCCGGTTTCGGCTTTTGGGATTTCGGTTTGGGGATTCAGGGTTAGGGTTTTGGGTTTAGGGTTTTGGGTTTAGGGTTGAAGGTTTAGGGTTAAGGGTTTAGGTGTTAGGGGTTCGGGGTTAGGGTTTAGAGTTTAGGGGTTAGGTTTTACATTTTAGTGGTTAGGGATTAGGGTTTAGGGCTTAGTGGTTTGGGGTTTGGGGTTAGGGTTTTAGGGTTTAGGGGTTAGGGGTTAGGGGAGTGTTTGGGGTTTATGGGTTTGTTGTTTGGGGTTAGGGTTTTGGGGTTAGGGGTTAGGGGTAGGGGTTAGTGTTCAGAGTTTAGGGGTTAGAGTTTAGGGTTTTGGGGTTGGGGGATAGGGTTTAAAGTTTAAGGTTTTAAGGGTTATGGTTTAGGATTTAGGCTTTAGGGTTTTAGGGTTTAGGAGTTAGGATTTAGGGTTAAGGGGTTAGGGGGTGGGCTTTCGGGGTTAGGGGTTAGAGTTTACAGTTTAGGGGTTAGGGTTTAGAGTTTAGGGTTTTTGGGTTGGGGGTTGGGGGTTCGGGTTTAGGGTTTAGGGTTTTAAGGGTTAGGCTTTAGGGTTTAGGCTTGTAGGGTTTAGGGTTAAGGGGTTAGGGGTTGGGCTTTAGGGTTTAGGGTTAAGGGTTTTAGGGTTAGGGGTTAGGGTTTAGTGTTTAGGGGTTAGGTTTTACAGTTTAGTGGTTAGGGGTTAGGGTTTAGGGGATAGTGGTTTGGGGTTAGGGGTTAGGGTTTTAGGGTTTAGGGGTTAGGGGTTAGTGTTTAGGGTTTAGGGGTTAGGGATTTGTGGTTTAGGGTTTGGGTTTTGGGGTTAAGGGTTAGTGGTTAGGGGTAGGGGTTAGTGTTTAGAGTTTAGGGTTTAGGGGTTAGAGTTTAGGGTTTTGGGGTTGGGGGTTAGGGTTTAAAGTTTAAGGTTTTAAGGGTTAGGGTATAGGATTTAGGCTTTAGGGGTGGGCTTTCGTGTTTAGGGGTTAGGGTTTACAGTTTAGGTTTTAGGGTTTACGGTTTAGGGTTTATGGGTTGGGGGTCTGGGTTTAAGGTTTAGGGTTTAGGCTTAAGGGGTTAGGGGTTGGGCTTTAGGGTTTAGTGTTTCAGGTTTCGGGTTTTGGGATTTGGGTTTAGGGTTTTAGGTTTAGGGTTTTGGGTTTAGGGTTTTGGGTTTAGGATTTAGGGTTAAGGGTTTAGGGGTTAGGGGTTAGGGTTTAAGGGTTAGGTTTTACGGTTTAATTGTTAGGGGTTAGGGTTTAGGGGTTAGTGGTTTGGGGTTAGGGGCGGGGTTAGGGGTTAGTGTTTAGGGTTTTGGGGTTAGGGGTTTGGGGTAGGGGTTAGTGTTTAGGGTTTTGGGTTTAGGGGTTAGAGTTTAGGGTTTTGGGGTTGGGGGTTACGGTTTAAGGTATAAGGTTTTAAGGGTTAGGGTTTAGGATTGAGGCTTTAGGGTTTTAGGGTTTTAGGGTTTTGGAGTTAGGGTTTAAGGTTAAGGGGTTAGGGGTTGGGCTTTTGGGTTTAGGGGTTAGGGTTTACGGTTTAGGGGTTAGAGTTTAGGGTTTTGGGGTTGGGGGTTACGGTTTAAGGTATAAGGTTTTAAGGGTTAGGGTTTAGGGTTTAGGCTTGTAGGGTTTAGGGTTAAGGGGTTTAGGGCTTTAGGGTTTAGGGTTTCAGGTTTCGGGTTTTGGGATTTGGGTTTGGGGTTTCAGGTTTAGGGTTTTGGGGTTAGGGTTTAGGGTTTAGGGTTTAGGGTTTAGTGTTTAGGGTTAAGGGTTTTAGGGGTTAGGGGTTAAGGTTTAGGGTTTAGGGGTTAGGTTTTACAGTTTTATTGTTAGGGGTTACGGTTTAGGGGTTAGTGGTTTGGGGTTAGGGGTTAGGGTTTTTGGGTTGAGGGGTTAGGGGTTAGTGTTTAGGGTTTTAGGGTTAGGGGTTAGGGGTTAGGGGTAGGGGTTAGTGTTTAGGTTGGGCTTTCGGGTTTAGGGGTTAGGGTTTACGGTTTAGGGGTTATACTTTAGGGTTTATGGGTTAGGGGTTGGGGTTTAAGGTTTAGGGATTTAAGGGTTAGGGTTTAGGTTTTCAGTTTGTAGGGTTTAGGGTTAAGGGGTTAGGGGTTGGACTTTTGGGTTTAGGGTTTCTGGTTTTGGGTTTTGGGATTTGGGTTTGGGGTTTCAGGTGTAGGGTTTTGGGTTTAGGGTTTTGTGTTTAGGGTTGAGGGTTTAGGGTTAAGGGTTTAGGGGTTAGGGGTTAAGGGTTAGGGGTTAGGGTTTAGAGTTTAGGGGTTAGGTTTTAGGGTTTAGGGGTTAGTGGTTTGGGGTTAGGGGTTAGGGTTTTAGGGTTTAGGGGTTAGGGGTTAGTGTTTGGGTTAGGGGTTAGGGGTTTGGGGTTTGGGGTTTGGGGTTTGGTGTTAGGGTTTTGTGGTTAGGGGTTAGGGGTTAGGGGTAGGGGTTAGTGTTTAGTATTTAGGGTTTAGGGTTTAGGGGTTAGAGTTTGGGGTTTTGGGGTTGGGGGTTAGGGTTTAAAGTTTAAGGTTTTAAGGGTTAGGGTTTAGGATTTAGGCTTTAGGGTTTTAGGGTTTAGGCTTAAGGGGTTAGGGGGTGGGCTTTCGGGTATAGGGGTTAGGGTTTAGAGTTTAGGGTTTATGGGTTGGGGGTTGGGTTTAAGGTTTAGGGTTTTAAGGGTTAGGGTATAGGGTTTAGGCTTCTAGGGTTTAGGGTTAAGGGGTTAGGGGTTGGGCTTTAGGGTTTAGGGTTTCAGGTTTCGGGTTTTAGGATTTGGGTTTGGGGTTTCAGGTTGAAGGTTTTGGGTTTAGGGTTGAGGGTTAAGAGTTTTGGGGTTAGGGGTTAGGGTTTAGTGTTTTGGGGTTAGGTTTTACAGTTTAGTGGTTAGGGGTTAGGGCTTAGGGGTTAGTGGTTTGGGGTTAGGGGTTAGGGTTTTAGGGTTTAGGGGTTAGGGGTTAGTGTTTAGGGTTTAGGGGTTTGGGGTTTGGGGTTAGGGTTTTGGGGTTAGGGGTTAGGGGTTAGGGGTTAGTGTTTAGACTTTAGGGTTTAGGAGTTAGAGTTTAGGGTTATGGGGTTGGTGGTTAGGGTTTCAAGTTTAAGGTTTTAAGGGTTGGGGTTTAGGATTTAGGCTTTAGGGTTTTAGGGTTTAGGAGTTAGGGTTTAGGGTTAAGGGGTTAGGGGGTGGGCTTTCCGGTTTGGGGGTGTAAAAACTAAGCATACCGTGTATTCAAGGTTCGAGAAGGGCCTTCCACGTCACGCAAAACAAAAGGACGGCCATTAATGTAGACTACCTGTTTGGAGGAAAGAAAAGAAGATTATTATTGGTAACCAAAACGCAGGCATGATCAATGATATCAATGAATAATAATAAGCTAATAATATCAATGAATGACGAGTAGAACATAATAATGGAGATACATAGTATAGAAATGAAATGAAGAAAGAAGAAGTGAAGAGATTACGGGTTCTTCGCGGAGACTAATCCAAAGAAGACGGGAAGTCTTGGCATTAATATGATTGAGAACATTGCGGATCCCATCCATGGTAGGAATTGCAACTCCATGGACATGTAAACACTCTGCCTAATTATTTGTATTTTTTTGGGCAATAATATTGGAATGTAATCAGTAAAGTAAAAAAGAAAGAAGAGAGAAATTAAAATTAACGATAATTAGTGGGCAGGGAAGGAAAAGAGAAGAAGAAAAAGAGGAGACCTGACGGTAGTTGGGAGCGCCGTCGATGTGAGGAGAGAGGCGCTTGTTGTGGCAGCCAGGAAAGTGATCGCTCTTCAGAATCGTCTTCTTCCCAAGCACTGCTCCTCCTCTTTCCTTCACTATTGCCTTGGCTGCTTCAGCTTCTGACATCTCCGTTCCTCTCTCTCACTCTCAATCTCAATCTTCTCTTTCTTTATGTTATCTTTTCTCTAACAAATCAACAAATAACAAATGGATAGATTTTGTCTCCAATGTCTTCTCTCTACTACTCTTCTACTTATACTAGTTACATTATTACACAACACATTAATTGAATCATAATACACACACATATATCTCTATATATAAATAGTTAATTTGCAGAGCAGAGGCCTAGAGCCAGAGGCCGAATTTCTCATTCTCATGCCCCTCTCCCTCAAGAGTCAATCCTCACCACCTCAACGTGAAAATCGCTCTCTCTCTCTCTCTCTGATTTATTATTAAAACTGTTATCCTCTCTCCTCCTCTTTTTTTTTTTTTTTTTTTTATGATCTCATCTCTTCTGATCTCATCATCGTACCATCCCTATTCCGCCCTGCTGACGCTTGGGCCCGCTTTCTCTCTAATCATGGGACATCGCCACACTCGAACCCATCCTTACTTCACTTCACGAAAGCCCGGCCCATATTTCTGACACCTCTAAAAGACAGGCCCAAGCTCAGCACATCTCTTATCTCCCGCTTCAACTTCAATTGTTCTACATTTGTTATAGATTCTCCCTCTCCAAACTCTAGTCTACTCTGGCTTCACCTGGTCGGAATAGCTCCAGGCTCCAGCCTTCTGCTTCACCCGTTTCTTTCTATCCCATAGGTTTGGATTTCTCTCCCTTTCTATTTATCATTTTTCCGTCATTCGCTGTATTTTCTTCTTCTGGAAATTTAATTGCTTTTTTCCCCCCTCTGGAAATGCGCTTTCTATTGAAGTTAAACACAAAAAACAAAAAACCCTAGTCCAGACTCTAGAGAAGCTTCTTCCGGGAATTTTGATGAAATTTTCAACTTCCTCAGAACAAGTAATGGAAGGAGGGGGGTTGGACCGGAATCCGTTGGGCGTGATGCCGATCTCCGACGACGTCGTTCGTCCAACAAGGCGGTGCTTCTTGCAGAAATCAAAAGCGAGGCCTCCGATGGTTGCGTTAGCGAGAGCATTCTGGAGAATCTGGAAAGGACTCAAAGGAATGCGATTCCGGAGTCAATGAGAGCAGCGTACTGTATGGTGGCATTAGAATGCACGGTGAAATTCCTGGTGAGCAGTGGGGGAAAGCCTCGGGAAAAGTACTCCAAGGCGTTGAATCACATTTGGGGAGGGGAAAGGAGAATCGGACGGTTGGAGAGGCTTGGGAGGAGTCAACTCCTGTCGGACGAGCTCAAGAAGCGCCGCGACGAGCTTAACTCTGTTTTCGAGGACGAGGATGTTTGTAGAAAGCTTTGTAGAATGAATACCAGGAACGATGCTTTGTCGCGTATTTGTGTTTATTTGGAGGAGGCCTCCGCTGGTATAAGTATAACTAATTCATCAAGCAGACGATGAGGCAGAGCCAAGTCCATCTCAATCTCAACATTTTGATGTTGATTATGGTTTTGGAATTGATAATCAATCCAAAGATGCTCCTCCGAATTTGAAGGAACATAATACTACTACTGCTCATGCTGCTCATGCACATGAGGTGGGTAAAACGTCTACTCAGTAATCTCGTATCTTAATTTAATTTTTTTTTTTAAAAATTAATCTCTGTCGTTGGTTAAATGGTGCGTTATATGCAAAATTGCACTGTCCAACTCTGATATTCTTTGTTACAGTGGAATGAATCAATTGACAACTCGCCTAAAACAACTGCCAACCAGAACCATGGAACTCGCCGGCCTATCCCAAAGAGAAAGACCGTTTCTCCGCCGAAGATCAACAAGAACGAAACTAGAATGAGAAAAAAGAAAAAACGATGGTCTTAACATGAAGAAGAGATCTTAAGGACTGCTGTTCAATCGTATGCGCTTCTTTTAATCTCGCGATTTTCGCATCGTTATCACTGGGTGTTATGTTTTTTTCATGAACTATTGGTTGTTTGTTTGTTTAATCTTGAAAGCAAATTTATGCTCACGATTCTGGTTTTGTCATAAAGGTTTGGTCCCAGGTGGAAGGACATCTGGACTACCCACCATGATGATTTTGGAGACAGGACTGCGGTAAGCAAATGTTATGTTGTCTTGTTTGTTTGCAAATTGCAATGCCAGCCAACTTAATTCCTTGTCCATCCGTGTCAAGGCAATTGCTGTTGTTAAAAGTTGGATTTTTCTTCACTCCCACTGGTCGATTTGAAGGATAAGTGGAGAAACATGAACAAAAATGTGCGTCATTGAACTGAAGTATATATGCAGCTTAGCTTTTTGTATTTTGCTTGCTTGCATATAGTTATATGCTTTTGATTGGTTCAACACGTGCTTTTTTTTATTATTATTTATTTTTATGCTTCATAGTTGCCAAATAGCGGTGGTTCTGGGAAAATGAATAGTATTTTGCTCCTTACAAAACAACAGGGATACTCCAAACAGTGATGAAATTTAACACTTTTCCGTGTAAATATCTGTTCCACGGAATGTAATGGAGCCTCACATAACAATGAGATGCGCCCAAAATAAATGAAAACTTGCTGCTTTATGCATGTACTATGTAGATGAAGTTTCATGCCCAGCTCGGTGTGAAATAACTCGAGCAATAATTCGAGAATATAAAACTTTAGGGAAAGGAGGAAAAAAAAAAAAAAAAAAAAAAAAGGATGGTGTCCCCATGCCTCTTGATTTGTTAGGTGGTGTCTTGAGTCGGGTGTTGGTTAAGGTAGGGTTCTTTGCCATGGTCATTAGGATCATTGATTGTAGGAGTTTAACTCCGTATAGGGTTAGAGTTTTGTTTAGCTCTGTCGATCGGTGCATGGACTCTCGATAAGGTTCTTTGAGTCTGCTTCTATACCTAGTTCTTGGTCTTCGGACCCTCAGTTGCACCTTGGTCGATTTTGGCTCAATTTAATAGATTTTTTCCTCTAATTGGAGGCCTTATTCACCCAAAGAAAAATATGCTCAAGTACTAATATATGTTATTCTCAAGCACTTAAAAGCATTACTAGCCAAAAAAAAAAAAAAAACACTTAAAACATCTCCAAGGCATTTCTATTATTCTAATGGTTAAAAATGAAAGATGCAGATTTGATTGATTTTTTTTATATTTTTACGTTTGGAGCAAGGATTCGTGTCATAGTTCGGATCATAATTCGTGGCTTGCTACAGTAGTGACAGAACTAGTTGCGGATTTAGGTGATGAGACAAGAAACGGATCTGGGCGGCTTCATGAGAAAGAGCGGTGGAGGAGATGTATGTGCCTGGGCTAGGACGTGGGTTGGGAGGCGGACGATACGTGTCGATCTCAACAGTAGTGTGATGTCTAGATCTGGGTGGCTTTGTGTGGGTTGTACTCATAGAGCAAATTTTGCTTTGGTGATGGGATCCAAAATGAATTTTGTTTGCATAAGAGGATTCTTCATGGAAACGTAGCATTGTATCTGGCTTTGTGTGGGTTGTACTTACATAGCATCAATTTTGTTTTGGTGATGGAATTCAAAACAAATTTTGTTTGTAGCATTATGTTTTCTCTATGAAGATTGTGATTTTGGGTCTAAATGTTTTTTTTTTTATTCTATATAATTGGTTTGAAAGTTTGAGGAAGAAAAAGAAATATAAATCTGTGTTTTTTTATAAAAAAAATCTTTTTTATTATTTAATCATTTTTATAGATTTATTAGTTAGAATTTAATGGCTTTAGTTAATTGTTAATTATATGCCACATCATTAAATATGTTAATTTTATAGACTGAAGTAGATGGAAAGGATATTTTAATCCATTTTTTATATATCAAGAGGTATTTTGAATTACTTTTAAAAATTAGAGACGTTTTAAAATAAGATACATACTTCGATGTGTATTTATGAAATTAATCCTTTTTTAATTTGAGTTTCTAATTAAATAAATAGAAGGGCAAGTTTGACATTTCACTTCTTAAAAAAAGGTTAGATTTTTAGACGTGTATATATATAAATAATAATTATGTATTATATGCTATCATAAAAGTTTGGCCTAAATTAAAAGTGATCTTATAAGGTTTAAAGTTGAATGAGGTTAAGTCATCTCACAAAGTATGGGCGTAGAAACCCTAATGTTTGTCTAATTTCTAATTTATAATGAGCTAAAATTAGAAATAAGAAAAGTGTGTGCAGTTATAAATGGTTTAGTCCCTAAATTATACGTATGATTCTTTTCTAACATCCTATTATCAAAAAAGTTAGAACCCCCTTCTCTAAAAAATTCAAACGCATCAATTTAGAATATTACGAACCACAAGACTTAAGAATTATATATGTTATCATGAATTCAGGTACGCTTCCGTATCTAGTCTATTACTCTTGATGATTTAACATGAATGATCTTGACATGGTGAAGGTTTTCATCTATAAAGAAATTTATAACAAGTGGTCTCAAAACCTTTTCATGTTGAATTATTGAGAAACGATTTGGTATTCTCAAATTTAATAATTTTAATTTTGGTCTTATTGGATTTGAGAATAATTGTTATTGGCTTAGTTTGGTAGTGCTGCGGATTTTAAAAAAATTGTTTTTAGCTGTGCTGAAGGAAGAAGCAGCTGTTATAAGAAGCAGCTGAGTGTTTGGTAAACTGTAATTATAGTAGCTGTGCTGGTTCTAAAATTAGTGTAATAGCGTATGGTAAATTTTGATGTTGAATTGCTGTGGGTATGTAAAATGACCAAAATAGACATGATATGAAAGTTAAATATATATAATTATTTTTAGTATTTAGAAGTATTTATTTAACTTAAAAAAAACATAATGCTATGATTTTGAGTTTTTTAACAATAATTTATGATAATTAATTCTTTTTTTTCATTTCTTCATTCACAATATAGTTACAACTAAAAGGAGCATTAGTGAGTAATCAATTTGTTGAACAAAAAAGTACATTCCATGTTCAAAAACTGACAGAGTCATTAAAAGAATTAAGTCGTGTTCATTAAACTTGTCACAATTTGATCTCGTACTTTAACCATTTCTTGTGATAGTAAAGCTTCATCTTCTTCTACATTGTCCTCCAGTTGATGCTCTTCATAAGCGAAAACATCTAGATTACCCTTGATTTCTTGAAAATGTCGATCACGCTGATCATGCATCCTAATATAGTTATGAAGCGTCATTGTTGCAATAACTATTTTTACTTGCTTCCTAAATGAATAATTAGGCATGTCTCTCAAAATTTTTCATTTTTTCTTTTAAACACCAAAAGTGCGTTCAATGACACTTTGAAGAGAAGAATGTGCTTGATTGAATACCTCTTTACTGCCCATTAGTCGACGACCTATTCGAAATTGTGGTAAATGGTATCGTTCTCCTTATATCCAAGAAATCCTTTCAAATGTTTGATTATTTTCTATGACAATTTTGGTTATTTGATTTGGTCCAGAGAATTTAGTATGCAAACTGAAGAAAGAAATCAGAGACTTAAAAGTTTTATTGCATATTCAACAATCTTTAGTGCAGCCATGTAAGCAGTTTTGCATAGCATACAAGCTTAGTACCAGACAAATATACAAAGCAAAATCAAAGTTTACCATTATTCCCTATAACATTTAAGCATTCAGCACACCAGAACGTGCATTTTTTTTCCATATATGAACAAACAAAGGGGAAAAATGAAAGGAGCAAGGATAAAATGACCTTCGCTGTCCATCGATGTATTAGCTCAGAGCCAAGGAGAGTTATATATAGGAGTTATAATAGATTTCACTTGGAGATACTTGTGGAGGACCTCAAAGCAAAGTAGCAATTGATACATATGGTGCCGGCACGGATTGATCTCGAAGCAGTGTTGGCCACATTCAAGTCCTTTGTGACAACACCTGCTGCTAGTCCTATACATGAAATGAAGATCTCTTTTTCATGGGAAGCATTTTCCTTCAACTTGGCATCAAATTCATCGACGGCATCGCAGTTTTGACCCATTTCAGTTATGAACTCAGCCAAAACCTTGTATCCAAACCCTAAGTCGGTCTCAAGCTTAGTGCAGACCTTGGAGACTAGTGATAAATATTCAAGCTTCTTTAGACCCTCATCTGTAGTAGCCATTGATGAAGATAATCAAAGCCTATCTGCAAGAATAACAGAGGTCAGAAACTTGTATAACGCACCCAAAGGCAAGGACTTTTGTTCATATTTACATACAATTTGTGGGCATAAATTAAGTAGTAAATGAAGCGTGAGAAATAAGAACATTTATACAAAACAAAGAAAAAAATGCAGAAATCAGAAAGAGTCAAAGAGAGAAACATATTAATAGAAAGATGAATAGTTCACGACAATTCAAATTACAATCTTTAATTTTTTTTTCCACTCTTTGTCATACCTTTTGGGAATAGAAGAAAGGAACGCAGGGACCAGAATGAGAGAGCGCAATCGAAGGTGGCGTTACTTCCAATTCCTCAGATGAAACTCAGTAGCAGAACTCTACCCCCAATTCCTCCGATTTCATTTGTGCCAATTAGGGCGTGAACTGATAGTATTATTCCGACATTAAAGATGAGAATTTCACCAGATTCTTAGACGAGGGCAGTGAAATCAAAGAAGAAAGAAGAAGATTTGCTTTACGTTGTGCTGCTGTAAACATAATGGGAATTTGAAAGCTTAGTATAAACTGACCAAAAACCACAAAAGGGGACAAAATGAACGAGCAGGCACCATGAGATTTGGGGGAAAAGTGTTCATAAATGAAAAACAGACAGAAATAGAGAAATGTGAACCTCTTTCGGTAAGCGAGCTTGGCGTAGGAAGAGCGCTTCACGTGCCTTTAATCTTCCTTCCACTACCCAGTCTTTCACAAAATCATGTATCGATCTTCCTTCCACGAACCTAAGAATGCATGGGGAAATTTGGGCATTTGGTGGAAAGAGAGGATCGAGTGAGGTTTTCTTCTTCCTTGGCCGGGTAAATGCCTCTTCGACGGCTAACACGAGCAAAACCACCAACACCGAGAGAACAGAGATTTTGGGGACTCCGCCGCCGACAATCGCAGGAGATAAACGGAGAGAGGGAGTCCGAGAGAGAGAAGGAAGAGAAACGGAGGGAGAGAGCGAAGGCTGAGGCTGAGGCAAGAGAGCACGAGAGGAGGCTGCCTCTGAGAGTTTCAGGAGAGGGGCTGAGGCAGAGAGCACGAAGGAGTTTCAGAATGATAGGTTTGAGGGTTATTTTGGGAATAACCAAAATTTCATTAATGAGGGACTTCAGATTCCCAGACAATCTGAAATCAGAAGCAGCAAGGGAGCTGCTTCTGATTTCAGCTAAAATATTACTTTTAGATTATCTAAGAATCCGGTTTTATGTGTTTACCAAACACATTTTTTAGCTTCAGCTAAAAAAAAATGCTTTTAACTTCCCAAAATTTATACCAAACTGAGAGGGGCTGAGGCAGAGAGCACGAAGGAGTTTCAGAATGATAGGTTTGAGGGTTATTTTGGGAATAACCAAAATTTCATTAATGAGGGACTTCAGATTCCCAGACAATCTGAAATCAGAAGCAGCAAGGGAGCTGCTTCTGATTTCAGCTAAAATATTACTTTTAGATTATCTAAGAATCCGGTTTTATGTGTTTACCAAACACATTTTTTAGCTTCAGCTAAAAAAAAATGCTTTTAACTTCCCAAAATTTATACCAAACTAAGCCATTGTCTTCTAAAATTCCGGGTTCAAGAATAGTTAAAAGTTGTGATTAATTGAATTCGGATTTAATAAAGAAAATTGATATTTTAATTTTCTGTCATTAAAGATGTTTTGAGAAGAGATTTTTCGTTCTTGTTTCTGAGTTTCAATGCGTTTCATTGCGCATGAAGAACTTTCGGTTAATTAATTATAAAAAAAGGACGATCAGATGTGTTTGGGCCCCAAGAATTATGCCGGCGAAGACGACAGCGTAGAGGAGGGTCTGTAGGGAGGAGGAGAGGGCCCACTGGGCTTGGAGGGCGGGCCCAATGAAGGAGAGGAGCATGAGTTTAGAGGCGTCGACGATGCAGGACAATTAACAAACAAGCGACCGGGAATAGCTGATCTGAGCCACGAGTACACTATATTATTATATTATATTATTTTGACATCTTCATTGTTATTGAGTTGTCTTATTACTTTAATTACCGGGTCTGCTGGGCTGACAAATGCAATAAAAGTTGCTTAGAAAGCTCAGCACGTCATAAAAAGTCAAAGATAGCGCACGTGGCTTTTTTGTTTTATTTTATTTAAAATTTAATAAATAGAAATAGTTTAAAGAATGAGAGAAAGAGAGAAATAGATTAAGATTTGAGATGAATTAAAATTAATAGGTGAATAGTTTACATAAATTAATAAATAAGTTAAATTACTGTTTTCGTCCATAACTTATCTGGTTATTAACCATAACTTGACAAATTATTATCCATAATTATTCATAATTTGTCTGATTATGAACCATAATTTAATAAATTTATCTATAATTTATTTAATTATAAATCATAACTTGATAAATTATGACCTATTAATGTCTATAACTAAAAATTAACTTATATATTTTTTTAAACTTTTCGACATATTTTTTACTATTTTCCTTAAAAAAGCCTATGGACCTGCACGCTTAGGCCCAATCCATTAGTTTTGGAAGGCCCATGCAGGAATGCCTGGTTCCTTGCTTGTTTCTTTGTTTGAAGGCTTGTTTCTTTGTTTGAACTTTGAAGCATGCCTTTCTCATTGATTTTCTGAAAAATAACGATAAAATAATTAGGCATCCCAATCTGGGATCTACGAGAAGCTTCCGTAGGAGCAGAAGGTGAGATCCATAAATTCCAATCTCAGGGATATTAGGTTGGATTGGATTAGGGTTTGGGATTGTGAAAAGTGAAAACGGCCATGGAAAGAGGAGGATCTGCAACAACAACTACTGTAGGAGGAGCCGCAGTGGCAGAGGCGGAGAAAACGTCGTCGTATAGGTACTGGGTGAGAGGTGCCACTGAGGACGCCGTTCCCATTCCGCTTCCCAAGAAGCTGTCGCCCGACGACTTTGATTCTAATTCTAATTCTAATTCTAATTCTAATTCGAATTCTAATTCGAATCCTCCAACTTTGGGTTCCGTCTGGAATCGGGTGCGTTTTCAATCAATTTCTCTCTCTCCATCTCTTATTTATGTATGTATGTTTGTATGTGTTAATATCAACATTAATATTATTACTGAATCATTCATCATCTTCTTGTTGTTGTTATGATAAAAAAGGCTGGAACTTGGGAGGAGAAGAACCTTAATAACTGGGCAACTCAAAGAATCAAGGTACCATTACATATTGCAATTGCAATTGGTTATTGCGCTTTTATTTCTCATTGGATAAACAAAGTTGTTGTTACGATGATCTTTTGTTTGCGTTTCTTTCTAGTTGTGGATAAGATTGATTTATTTGTTGTTGGTTTCAGGAGTTGGTTTTGTCGATTGGTTGGTTAGAGTTCCCATCATCAGGTGGAAAAGCTCAGATTTCTGATGTTTCCAAATGTCTTGGCGATGTCAGTTCCTTGGGAATCCTTTCTTCTTTTTATTTCTTTCTCTCCTTTTAACTTTTTGAATGAAATATGCTGTTTGTTGCTAAGTGGTTAGTTCTTATCAAAATAATAATAATAATTAAAAAAAAAAAAGTTAATTGCTGAGTAGTAGTAGTAGTAGTGGGCTGAAACTGAAACTGAAACAGGCTTTCTTGGCGACTGTCCGGAGCAAGAAGCGTGTTGGCTATACCTATGAGCTTACCTTCAAAGTCGAAGGTAATACTTTTACTATTACTATTACTAATAACAATAAACAAATACGCTTCGCTAAATCTAATTCTAATAAATAGATTAGAAAGAAAAGGAAATATCTTTGTTTGTTTTTTTTTTGTTTTTTTTATAAACATTACATTACATTACATTTCATGAATGTTGCTTCTTCATCAGGGGAGTGGATTATAAAAGACGAGAAAAAGTCGGTGAAGGGGCATTTGGATATTCCAGAGCTCTCGTTTGGTGAGCTTCATGACTTGCACCAGGTAAATCAATCCCCTATTATTACCTCCCTGCATTAACAATAAACTGTGTCCTTTGCTTTAATCTTTTAACATTAGAATATAGATGCATTGCATACATCATTAAACACACTCTGCATTGCTACAATCATAAAAGAAAATGCTGTTGGAGATTTGAACCGACAAAATTTATGGTGTGTGGATTTCTGTCTCCAGCCACTGTAAATTGAAATCAAAGGACAATGTACAAGATCATAAAAAATATGTCCCTTCTCCAAATTAGAGAAATATTTGGAACTCAGGCAAATTTTCTTTATCATTTATAGTAAGTTCTGATGCTTTAATTGGTTTTAGTAGTGGATAAGATAACATGAGATGACTCATATAGTCCACTTTGGATTTGCAAGTTTATTTGCAGTTAGTTTAGATGCATATTCATTTTTTTAGCTAGTTGCAAGTATTATGCATAAACTCGAATCCATTATGCCAGATAAAAGGGACAGATCCATAAAGAATGAGTTTGTCCTGTGTACTTAATCTGTTTCTAATGGCTAACCAAAGAATGAAAGTATGCCTTGGAATAGTTGTCCTGTGTACTTAATCTGTTTCTAATGGCTAATGAAAGAATGAAAGTATGCCTTGGAATAGCCTTAGGGAACCATACTAAGTTACACCAGTCAACTCTAGGTTTAGGAGGTCTCAAATCCTCCCAACACAGTTAGCTTGGTTTAGGGTTTAGAGTGTTTAGGGGTTGGTGGGTTGGGGGTTTTGGGGGTTGGGGTGTTGGGGTTTTAGGGGTTTGGGCTTTGTGGTATTGTGGATTGGGGGATTTGGGGTTTAGGGTTTAGGGGTTTTGGGGTTGGGGGTTGGGGTGGGGGTGGGAGTGTGGGTTCGGGTTGGTGGTTAGGGGGGTTGGGGGTTTGGGAGGGTTTGGTATTTGGGGGTTTTAGAGTTTAGGGGTTTAGGGTTATGGGTTTAGGATTTTAGGGTTTGGGGTTTTGGGCTTTAGCGGTTTAAGGGTTTAGGGGTAGGGGTCTAGGATTTTTGGGGGTTTTGGGGGCTTTTGGGGGCGAGGGTGTAGGGGTTTGGGGTATGGGATTTGAGGTTTGGGATGTGAGGATTGGGGTTTAGGGTTTTCAGGCTTTAGGATTTAGGGTGTTTTAGGGTTTAGGGTTTAGGTTTTGGGGATTGGGGTTTAGGGTTTAGAGTTTGGGGTTTGGGGTTTGGGGTTAAGGTTTTGGGGTTGGAGGTTTGGGGGTTTGGAGGTTTGGGTTTAGGGGGTTAGTGGTTAGGAGTTTTGGGGTTTTGGGATTTACGGTTTTACGGTTTTAAGGGTTTAGGGTTTAAGGTTTAAGGTTTAGGGTTTGTGTTTTAGGGTTTAAAGGTTATGGGTTATGGGGTTAGGGGTTAGGGATTATGGGTTAGCGGTTTGGGGGTTAGGGTCTGGGGGTCTTGGAGTCCAGGGTCTGGGGTCTTGGCTCTGAGGTTTACAATAGAAAAAAAATCAAGCTGTTTTAAGGCTAAGAAGGCACAAGGAGTAAAAAGTAAAGCAAAATAGGAGAATAAAAAAGTTAAAAGGGTTTAAAAAAAAGAAAAAGCAATAAAAGAAAAGAAGAGAAAAAAGCTTTTCAAAAAGTGTTAGTGTTTATGCCCTTAGGAATAAATGTAACAATATTTTTTGAGACATTTTGACTATTAATAAAGATTTATTTATTTCATATATTTATGTATTGTCCTTTTTATGTTCATATTAGTTGAATGTATGATAAGCAAATTAAAAGTCTGAGATTGTCATTCTAAATCTTTAGATCATACATGTAATGTGAAGAACATGTGGAAGACATGACGAATTCACTTTTGATGAATTATATGTTGTCATCTTAATCCTTAGATGGATAATGAACCCGTATGCTTGACTTGTATCATTTGATGTACTAAAAGGAGACATCCTGACATTATGTAAATGTATGCTTACCGGTACATTGGGGGTATGACTCGTGTATGCGTAGATTTATTATTCATAGATAGTGGAATCCATAGCTCCTGTAAAGAGTTAATGATATCCTCTTATGCATTATCAGTGGATTGAAAAATACGAGATTTTGGCCATTAGACTACTTTGTGTTATCTAATGGTTTACTATTTGTAATGGTACGAATAATGGTTTTCTGATGGTGTGATAATGGAACATAAGATAAATGTAATTGGAAAGATAAAACGGAACTTAACCTCAAGTCGATTATGGATATCCTATGGGGATGATACACTAATATATTGAGTCATGGATGAGAGCTAGTAAGAGTTTTGTAAATACGCTATATAAATTGAGAGTGCAGCTCTAGGCTTTTAGTGGAGTAGCGTTAGAGTTTTATAATCATGAGACGGACTTATTGGTTTACAAGTAGTGTTGTGATTATATGAGCTTGATTTATATATGTCCATCGGGTCCCTTTGCTAGCTCACACAATTTCCTGTAACGATACGGTGTATTTATTACATATTGGTAACTTGTGTGATTTCCGTAAAAGGGGTTCAAAGTTAATAGGAGATTGGTTTATTAATTCACGAGTGATTTATCGGGTGAATTAATTGTTAAATGAATTCTAGATAAATTGGTTGAATTATTGTTTTAAGAGTTGTTTAATATGAAAAGACTACTATATGACTGTTTTGATCAGACATTTTCTCTATTGGGTTGCTTGAATCAAAACTGAGGCTATGTGCAAGTTTTTCGTGTTGAAGAACTAGGAAAACAACTATTGTCAGTGCAGACAGGTCGGCTGGACATGTTGACCGGTTAGTGAAGACAGGTCGACCGGTCAGGTCGATCGGTTTGTGAAGAACAGGTCGACCGGTGAGTTATAACGTCTCTGTCACCAGTCGATCGTTTGTAACGCGTAGCGCGTGCTAACGTGGTGAAACTGACTCTGGATGCGATAAAAACTTTGAGAAACCTAATTGTGATGAAAGTATAACTTCTTAAACCCTATAAATAGTCCAGTAAGTCACATTATTCATTAGATCACTTGAGAGAATTTTTGGAGGCTATTAACAAAAGATTCCTGAGAGAAAAAATTGTTTAATTCTCAAGAATGATTTTTTCTTTGGCTCTCTTGTGGTTGGAAGGAGTTCAAGAATACCAAAGGGTGATTAAACGATGTGTGCCCACCTGCACTCCGATCGTAAAAACGAGAATAACAAAGAAGACCTGTTGGTTGAGGCTCTTCCAGTCGTTCTTTGGAACGCTTTGACCAGTCAGACGTACAGTCTCCTTAAATCTCAAAAGGTATGATTTAGATCTTTAGTATTTATGTTATATAGCATCATGAACATGTTCTTGGTTGGCTTTGACGTTGATGAAAGTTTTTAAAATTTCGCTGCGCACTCGATGTTTTTTTTTTTTCCAACAAAAAGTGCACCTAAAACGGTGCGTTTTAGATGACTAAAAAGATACAGGAGTAGGATATACACTCTTTTAGGGTTTAAAGTTTAGAGTTAGGATTTAGGGTTTAGGGGTTAGGGTTTGTGGGTTTAGGGTTTAGGGTTTAGAGTTTAGGGTAGGGGTTAAGGGTTTAGGGTTAGGGGTTAGGGATTTGCGGGTTTGGGGTTTAGGGTTTGGGATTTTGGGTCTAGGGTCTGGGGTTTAAGGTTTAGGGTTTTTGGGGTTGGGGGTTTGGGGTTTGAGGTTTTAGGGTTTGAGGTTTTGGGGTTTCGGGTTCGGGGTTTAGGGTTAGGGGTTTAGGGTTAGGGGTTTGGGGTTCAGGGTGGGGGTTCGAGGTTCGGGTTTGGGTTTTTAGGTTGTTAGGTTTAGGGTTTTTAGATTTTTAGGTTTTCTTGTTTGGGGGTTTAGGGTTTAGGGTTTAGGGGTTAGGGGTTTAGGGGTTAGGGGTTAGGGTTTAAGGGTTTAAGGTTAGGGGTTTAGGTGTTAGGGTTTAAGGTTTAGGTGTTAGGGTTTACAGTTTAGGCGTTAGGGTTTAGGTGTTAGGGGTTTAGGGTTTAGGTGTTAGGGTTTAGGTGTTTGGGTTTAGGGGTCAGGGGTTTAGGGTTGGGTTAGGGTTCGGGGTTCGGGGTTAGAGTTTATGGGTTTTAGGGTTTTAGGGGTTAGGGGTTAGGGGTTAGGGGTTAGGGGTTTGGGTTAGGGGTTTGTGGTTTAGGGGTTTAGGGTTTAGGTTTTTTGGTTTAGGGTTAGGGGATAAGGGTTGGGGGTTTAGGTTTCAGGGTCTAGGGTTAGGGGTTTATGGTTTGGGGTTAGGGGTGTAGGTGTTTGGGGTTAGGGGTTTAGGGATATGGGGTTTAGGGTTTAGGGCTTGGGGACTAGGGTTTAGGGGTAAGGGTACGGGGTTAAGGGTTTACGTTTCAGGGTTTGGGGTTTAGGATTTAGGGTTAGGGGTTTAGGGGTTAGGGGTTTGGGGCTCAGGGTTTTGGGGTTGGGGTTAGGGGTTAAGGGTTTAGGGTGTGGGGTTTGGGTTTCGGGGTTTGGGGTTGGGTTTTGGGGTTTGGGTTTTGGGTTTAGGGTTTAGGAGTTTAGGGGTTTGGGGGTTTAGGGTTTAGGAGTTTAGGGTTTAGGGTTTGGGGTTAGGGTTTGTTATTAGGGTTTCGGGGTTTAGGATTTAGGTTTCGGGGTTTAGGGTTTAGGGTTTGGGTTTTAAGGTTAGGGCTTTCGGGTTTAGGGTTAGGGTCTTAGGGTTTAGGGTTTGGTGTTAGGGGTTTGGGGTCAGGGTTAAGGGTTTAGGGGCTTAGGGTTTGGGGTTTGGGGTTTGGGGTTTGGGGTTTGGGGTTTGGGGTTTGGGGTTTTGGGTTTTGGGTTTGGGGTTTGGGGT